AATGTTAGAGACAAGCTGCCCTATGCCCAACTTGGGCAGCAAGTGCATGCATGAGTTTTACCACTACTGCAAGCAGTCAACATGTAAAAATAAAGTTGCCCTCTGCCCAACTTGGGCAGCAAGTGCATGCATGAGCTTTACCACTACTGCAGCAGTCACAAATAAATGGAAAGCTGCCCTCTGCCCAGCTTGGGCAGCAAGTGCATGCAGGGCATTCATGGCATTGCAAAAAAAGGCTGGCTCAGTCTGAAGGGGCTTAAGCCAGTTTTCAAAGGGGCAAAAAGCGTTGCAATGTCAAAATGCTAACCTGGTAATTGTGCCTGTAAAACCCCGCCACATCCGCCCAAGAGCGCCCTCCCTGTATCATGACATGCAAGACTGTCAGACATGGCAAACAATGCACGCTAAGATTATATTTAAGATTTGGGGGTTTATGGTTTAGACCCCTAAACATACCCTGATTCTTAAATATAGGATAAGTCACAGCGGCAGGATTTTTTCTAGCCGTGCTGATTTGTGTCGATGCCTCTGTCCACAGCGGACTGTCAAGGTATGCAGCCCTGTAAACGACTATATTTACCCCTAAACCCTAAACAATAATAATAGGCACAAAAAAGCCGAGGATGCGCATCAACTATGAGAAAAGGTGGAATAATGCAGGAACGGTACCTTGGAGAATGGCCGAGCGCCCACAACGCTGAAGTGGGTACCAGAGGCGGCCTGGAAGGCCTTCCCAGTGTAGCCCACGTGGTCTGACCCCAGGATGTCCAGCTGCTTCACTACCCCTCCATACACTGCATCTTCCCTGGCTGCCCCGCTCATGATCCACTTGTTGCGCGCCCACGCAGTCAATGAATACCTGCAGACGCAGCAATAAACCGATGATGCTGTTTGAAATAACCCACAAAATCACAAGCTGAACAGTGCAATGGCAAAAGAAATAGATATGCCCATGCATGAATGACTTCTCCAACTCTTGACCAAGGGGCTGCCAATTGAAGAGGACAAAAATCTGAAGACGAGGCTAACTCCGCTCTTCTTTGTGATGGTTGTGCCGCCAGACATTTGGAGTCTATATAGGTGTGCAGTACTGACATTCACTGCAGCAAGTAAGGCGTGCATGCACATCTGCTGAGCTTGGCAGTACTGATTGGTCAAATCAAGGATTGCATGGAAGTGGAAGCTGTACCAGGCATCGTGGTTGCCCAGGATGACTGCCCTTGGGGTGGACACATCTGCTACACGCCTGATCAGGCCGACTGCCTCCTCCCCAAAATCCCCTGCAAGACACATCTCACAGGTGACCATAGCTATTTCGTTGTGGTCCTGTGCTCTTGATAATGTGCACATGCATGCTTGCCTTCAATAATCCCCTGCAAGACCCTGCAGAAGATTCAGTACAGCTCTGCTGACATGCAGATGAGACATAACTATTTCGCTGTGGTCCTGTACTCTTGATGACGTCAGTCAGTCAGTCAGTCAGTCGATTACACCCTTTTCCAGCCACCTAGGGCTGATCAGATGTCTGACTCTGATCGTCAGAGTCAGCACCCAGCATGTCATCCATACATTCACAGAGAAACTTGGAAACACTCACAAGATTATCCTGCCAAAGAAATTGAACCACAGTCGAAACCGGGAACAAGCCTGCATATTCGCCCCTAATGGGCATGCATGTTTGCGTTAGAGGTGTCGACAGGAAAGCAATTTGCATACCTACGAAGATAGCAGCGTCAACGCCAAGGCTTTCTAGCGCTTCTGCATCGTCCTCGTACCAGTGGCTGTGCACATCTCCAATGATGGCCAGCCGAATGCTCCCTGCTGGCGAAACTTTTCCATGAAATGTTGGCAAAGGCCAAGCAGGCACATCTTGAAGTTAGGCCTTCATTTCTGTCAATCTTGTACGTTTGGCCCTTAAAATGATGCAACATGTTCACAAGCGGCACTTGACCATCTGCAGTCAGCAATAGGGGAGCGCCCAATGGGATAGGAAGTGGTGCTTGTTGCTGGGATTGATGCAGAATTGGATCCTGCCATTTCAGGGGCTGCAACTTACCTGTGGCAGGCTGTGAGTGCGGCACAGATGCAGGCAAAGTGTTCATTCTGGTAGTGTTAAATGTTCCATGCCTCGTCTGTTTCTGCCCTGCAAAGTGCGGTGATAAGCCAACACTGCAGCGTTTTGGGCTCTGGCAATTCAGAGTCCTGTCCAAAAGAATTCTGATGCTTGCCTGCGTAGCACCACAAGAACAAAATCTAAAGAGAATGGCACGAGATGGTTTCCGAGCTATCATTGCAGGTTGGCCCTTTGTTGCACCAACTGTTGCACTTCACACCTTTATAGCCAGTACCTTGAGCTGAGGACGGCCGAGTTGATATTGCATCAATCAGTACCAATTGGTGAGATCAGCTATGTGGCTGCTCTCTGGGAAAACGCCAACATCGGCACGTTAGTACAGGCACTGTGTGCGAGTATTGCAGTATATAGGGGCACCCTGAGGAGCCAATATACTCAGAAGAATGGTCCTTGATCATCACACAAAGAATGTTGCAGACAAACGTAAAACCTTCAGACCGACCTAGCCCAGCTTCCTCTCGCACCAGGCCAGCTTCCGGTTAACGGTGAGACTCTCACCGGAGGGCAAATTCTGACGTTTTACTTCGTGCAATGTCTTTAGCTTGCAATTTCAGCCTTCACAGATTTGGATTCTTCTACTGTTTCAATCGAGCACCGTCGAGGTACATTGTGATAATGTAAGGATCCGTGATGCTTCAACATGATGCAAAGCTGCAGAGTGTGTAGGACTAATGTATGGACAACTGTGCCCCTCTCAAGAACTGTAGCAGGGCCTGCTCTCCCCGTGTTCTGCAGTAAGACCATGAACAACCAGGTACAGAAGCCAAATGAGAAAGTGCAGATTGTTGATGAGTGGAACAATCCGACAGGCGCTGCAACACGATCTGACATGAGGGCAAAGAACCTCATCCACCGATGCAGCTTCACGATGATATTCAACTCGCAGGTTTCGCACTGTCCCTTCAGAGAAACATGGCAACCAAGCTTGTAGAAAAGGACAGGAGCTCTTCTGAATATCTGTGGATGATAACAACGTCAGTGTGGTGTTCCACAGGGCGAGTTGTATGTGCAGAAGCGGGTGGCCTTCAAAGAGACTTATGCTTCCCATTATGACCCCGCACCAGGCGGCGTAGTAGGTGATCAACCCCATGTTCCATTGTTAAGTCACTGAGGGTTAACTCAATGTCCGACAGTGACAAAGTTACAAAGTTACAGTGACTATGTGGAGGCCTATCTTGGCACGCCACTGGGTGTGTCCTGTCCCTCTTGTACCAACTTCAAGATTGCAGAAGTGCAGAGCTCCGGCCGGCATCAGACATCCCTGTGTCAATCACACTGATCACCAATGCCTTCTGACAATAATGGTGCCTCCAAGGAAAGAGTCTGCCTAGATAGGACCCGTAAAGAAATATAGCTAGCAAGCCAATGGCTGCAGTCCATTAGGGACAAATATGCAGGCTTATTTTCGATTTCGTCTGTGGTTCAATTTCTTTGGCAGGATGATGTTGTGAGTGTTTCCAAGTTTCTCTGTGAATTTATGGATGTCATGCTGGGTGCTGACTCTGACGATCAGAGTCAGACATCTGATCAGCCCTAGGTGGCTGGAAAAGGTGTAATCGACTGACCGACCGACCGACCGACCGACCGACAGATCGACCGACTGACTGACTAACAGACTGACTGACTGCTGCAGTGATTGACACTGGTGCAGCGCAGGTGAAGGAGAGACTTATGAAGAGAATGCAGTGCGGGAGATTGAAGAGGAGATGGGCGTGACTGGCGTGAATCTAGAGAGGCAGTTTGACTTCTTCTACAGCGACAATGTCTGTCGATTGTGGGGTCGGCTCTTCCGCTGCCAGTATGAGGGCCCCTTCAAGCTGGACCCTGAAGAAGTCGAGAGTGGCCAATTCATGTCCCTCGAGGTGTGCAAGCTCTGCCAAAGCCCCAGTCTTGACGGAATTCAGCCAGGATCCCTATGGTTCTATATATTTTTTATTTATTTATTTGTAGGGTTTAGGGTTGTGCTTGTGCTTTTGCATTTATAGCCCGAGGCTGGTGCATCTTCAGATGGAATCTGGGAACACAGCTGTACTAGTGCGTGCTGCTCTCATACAAGAGCTGTTATTGCTTTCGCAATGTAGTTGCCTGTACCTAACCAGGCCCGTGAGCGATCAATTTCCGGTGAAAATAAAAAGCGAAAAGGCTGGAGGAAAGCGTCGCACTTGCAATGATGGATATTAAAAGGTAGTGCTCAGAAGGGTGTGGCAGCACATGCAGACAGCCTATTTCCATATGAAGTTGAAACGGTTGATTGCATCTACAGGAGGTAGCGGATCTACTGAGAAGCGGGCCTGTGTGCCCCGACAGCAAAGCGGCTGTTGCACAGTACCTGCAACTGCATTCTTCGGAGGCATGAAGCAATGTTGTCTTTGCCTACTTCTGACTACACTGTGGCAGAAGAACTTGAAGAGGTTGTTTGGGAGCCGTGACAACCTTATCTGTTATGGACCCGTTACATTGAAGTGTTCCATTGTAAAAAGCTGTGGGAGCCCCACTAGATTATGATTCACGGCAGCGCAGCCTACATTTTGAGTTGGGTCCACAGGGATGTTTTGGGCGTCCGGCATGCCACATGAAGAAGAAGCTATTATAATGATGTAATTGGCAAATTGGCAATATGGCAACCGGCTGCAGACGGGCCTGTGTATGCCCTACAGCCTTCAAGGCTTCGGGTTTGCCTCATACAGGATTTATTTATTAATTACGGTACATCATTCCAGCCATCTAGGGCCGATTCAGATGTCCCAGAAACTCCCTCAATCAGCATATATGAATACTAGGAAGGAGTCGATACTATGGAGAAATAATTTTTGCATGTGGAGATAGAGCATGAGCTTTGAAAGTGCAAAAATGAAAAAAGGATACTGGGGAATTGGGGGACTCGAACCCCCGACCTCCTGCACCCGAAGCAGGAATCATACCCCTAGACCAAATTCCCAGGGTGCTTCGTGATTCTGCTGGATCCTTTCATTCGAAAGGAGGTGAGCCAGTCAACGGTGTCATTATGGGAATTTCTGCACTCCATACAGAGGCTCAAGCAAAGCAGCGGATCAGATCGTCAATTTGAGTGGGCTATCATTGTTGCTGGCCTACCCTCGCTCCGCCAAGTAATGGCTTGTTAGCGATGGAGTCCCTTGGCAACCAACGCCTCTCTTGTATTTCGCGCTGGGCACAAGACGTGAAATGAAGTGACTCGAAGAACGAGGACCTCATTTCAACGTGGCGTCGTGATCCATGTAGATGGAAGGCCCCTATGCATTTCCGACATGAGATACCTCGAGCTCGGTAGCAAACGGACGGCCAGAACAACTCTACAGGAGCGTGGCCAGAATTCAGCAAATTGTGCTGTCGCTCGCAGCACGCCCTTCATAATCACTGGCAGCACTGACGCCCCGATCTGAAGGAAGATAAAATAGCGGCTGTATTAATGCTTCAGATGGGATCTCGGCCCACACCACAGTTTGGGCTGGAGTTGCAAGCCTGAAAGAAGTTGAAGGGGGTCCGGAAGCTGCAGCGCGTGTCTCCGATGGCGTGAAAACTAGGTTTTTGTATTGTTGCACGAAAGAATAATTGCGTTTGCAGACGCTTCGCCAGCAAGCAATCGTGAACATATTGCCTCATTTGAAATCGCTGCAGTCGCTGCTGCATGCATCATCACGGGCTTTGATCGAATAATACACCCAGTTTTCAAGCGTTGTCACTGTAGAGGGAGGAGATGAGCGCGCCCCTTTGGTTTCGGTGATTGCCTAACACACTTACTCTCACCTGAAATTGAGGATTGGTTTGCTTGGAAATGTATTTCGTTGCATTTGTGCAGCTTATGAAATGTTAGATGTTGATGGCAGACAAGGAGGAGGATACTAATAGTTATCGAACGTATGAAATTGAACTGCGTGATGTTAAATTTCTCTATCATGCTCATGAGTTGTCGATACCTGGATCGAATGCATGGCAGGCTGTATCGAAAGCGAACCCCTAACGTTTGCCGTGCATATGCCGTTCTTCCAGGGGCTTGAAGCGCTCCTTGGAAGCCTCATCAGCAGTGGTGCAAAGAACACTTCGTCAGAAGAGCACAGATGTGAGCAGCCAGCACAAACCTCCATGTCTTGCTCACAGTGATGGAGCTACGAAGGCATCTGCACCACGATGTCAGGCTTCAACAGTCTGTCTTGGAAAACTGACACATGTTTGACGATTGTCGGACAGGCTCACGAGCCAGCTGTATTCGTGGACAAGAGTACGAAGGTCATTTGCCAGGGCTTCACAGGAAAGAATGGCACCTTTCACAGCGAACAGGTGGGAGCCTCTGGCCATTCTGATCAGCACATGGCATGACAAATCCGTCCGCATGTGCACTTTGTGCTACTGCAAGCAGTTGTATTGAGCAACATCCCTGATTTTCTGTGCAGGCAATTGCCTATGGGACACAAATGGTGGGCGGCGTGACTCCAAAGAAGGGAGGCACGAAGCATCTAGGCCTGCCGGTCTTTGACACAGTGAAGGTGATGCTGCCAATCCTTCTGTACCCTGCAATTCAGCATGGAACCATGCTGTACACAGTCAGTCAGTCAGTCAGTCGAATACGCCTTTCCAGCCACCTAGGGCTGATCAGATGTCTGACTCTGATCCTCGGAGTCGGTACCCAGCATCGCATCCTTACATTCACAGAGAAACTTGGAAACACCCACAAGATCAAGCACACCAGCATTCAAAACACTCATGTTGGTGTCTCAAACATGGGACATGACTCATGACTCTCATGCATGTCGGTGCATGACATGACATTAGTGCCATGTCAGTGCATGACATGACATGAGTGCCATGTCATGACATGAGACTCACTCCTAGGCTGCCAGATGTCAATAGTGCAAGCACCATGTCTATGCATGCTCGCCTGCTGTAAGGCAAGACACAGCACATGCATGGATCACACGGCGCAAGACTGAGCATGCAATGCAAAGCACCTCAGTCTGTATTGTTGGGGGTTTTATATATTTTTAGGGTTTAAGTTTCACCCCTTACCCTAAATCCCTTAGTAAAAACATTATACAATAAGGTGCTTTGCATGGGATGCAGGAAGCTGTGGCGGAGACAGGTGCGACTGCATCAGTCATCTATGTGCCGCCGCCATTTGCAGCAAAGGCCATTCTGGAGGGCGTGGATGCTGGCCTGGACCTGGTATGCCCATCTATTTTTCTAATATATATATATATTTAGGGTTTTTTTGGGTATTTACCCTGAACCCTAAAACCCAGACCCACAGGACTGTATCTCTTTGTTTGATTGCCAGAGGACATCGCTCTATGAACCTGTAGGGGCAAGAATGTTAGTGTCTGGCATGGGTCGGTGATGGCCATCAGTAAGGGCTTGACATGCACCCTGTCTTGATTTCTTCACAAAGTTATAGACATGCATATTTTGCCACCGCAGTAAATGACCAAGATTAGCACATTGTTATGAAGTTTCAGTACAAATTATGAATAAGAGGTACCATGAGTCGATTAGTGCGGCAGTCGAACTGATGCCAAAAGCCCAATTGGGGCTCTTTAGGCATCATCTCGAGGAGGCATGTGTCAGCACCACGTGAGCATGTGACCGCAGGTGGTGTGCATCACGGAGGGCATCCCCCAGCACGACATGGTAAAGGTGAAGAAGATTCTGAAGGACCAGGACAAAACGCGGCTGATCGGCCCCAACTGCCCCGGCATCATCAAGCCCGGCGAATGCAAGATTGGAATCATGCCGGTGCGTTCTGGACTCAGCTTGTGGGCATATCCCGGCATGGCCTTTTCAGTCTGACTGGCACATCGTTGTGTCTTTGTTGGTTTTATCAGTTGCTTCCCTGCTGTAAGGATGGGCTGCTCTCCAGCATGAACTAGCAGTGCCTTTCCATCCTATGTCAACAGACATTGGATGCAGGTTTCGAGTACAAAAATATGATGTGTGTTGTCAGCATGCTGCCGAAACACACTCCAAAACAAGATCTATACTGGACAAAGCAAGGGTCTGGCAGCATGTTGCAGACTCGCATCATATTCTTGAAGTCACTTTTTGAGCCAAAGAGTTCTGGCTAGAGGTTTCTCTGGCAAGCGTTCAGGCAAGCGCCGGCCGGCTCTAATGTTTGCTGCAGGCAAGGTGTAAGGACAACCCTTGTGCCGAAGAAAACAAGATGCCTTTCAGTGCTGAAATGGCGGGGTGTATCCAGGGGTACATCCACCAGCCGGGCGAGATTGGGATCATGTCGAGCGCTGGCTCCCAGTGTTCCCTCCGCACAAGTCTAAGGACAACACTTTGCAGAAGAAAAGCTTTCCGATGCTATCATGGCGGGGTGTATCCAGGGGTACATCCACCAGCCGGGCAAGATCGGGATCGTGTCAAGGTCCGGCACGCTCACCTACGAGGCTGTCTTCCAGACAACGCAGCAAGGCCTGGGGCAGAGCACTGTGGTGGGCATCGGAGGCGATCCCTTCAATGGCACCAATTTCGTGGACTGCCTGGAGCGCTTCCTCAAAGATCCCCAGGTGAACTCCTGCCTGCACTGCTGTTGGGGACTCCACAGAATTTAATGATGTTGGGTTAAGAGCGTGTACACTACATGAATGGCACCAACTTTGTGGAGTGCCTAGAGCGCTTTTTCAAAGATCCTCAGGTGAATACCTGCCTGCAATAATGCTGGTAGGGGCTCCACAGAATGGTTTATGGATCAGGGACATGTCCGTGTACACTGCTTTGAATACAAAGGAACATTCATTTGGGGAAAAAGGAGGGCAGTCGTAGGAAGAGCCGCTTCTGGGTGTGCTAGCATAACTGATGCGCACATTGAGGTTCATTACAGGATGATTGCGCAGAGCTCCTAATCGCACAACTGAGAGCACCTAGACAGCAGGGTGTGATGTACCTGACTCTTCAGAATTGGTATTAGCAAGCACGGCGGCGCCATATCTGTCATGAGTGTGTGTGTGTGCAGAAAGAATAAGATTCCTTTTTGTTATGTTCATCGTGCCGCCCTGGCCATGGACATGCGATTACACTGGCACTTGCTTCAATAGAATCTCAGATTTTGGCTGTCTGCTCGCAGACGGAGGGCATCATCATGATTGGAGAGATTGGAGGCACAGCGGAGGAAGAGGCGGCGGAGCTCATCAAAAACTCCGGCACTACGAAGCCCATCCTGTCCTTCATTGCAGGCGCGCATTGCTGCTCACCCTGATAAGACAAGGATCAGACAGCGGCGGGTCTGGGAGTCCAATCGATAGGAGCACCACCGACAAGATCAACACGCTCGAAGCAGGTGTTTAGGGTTCAGGGAAATTGTTTTTTCCCAAGGGGTTTCAGGCTAAAAGCATCTGTGTTGCAGGTCTGACGGCGCCGCCGGGCAGACGAATGGGCCACGCGGGCGCGATCATCTCCGGCGGCAAGGGAACCGCCACCGACAAGATCAACGCGCTCGAAGCGGCCGGTGTCACTGTTGTCAAGTCACCCGCGCAGGCAGGAATCAACTCTCATAACACCCTGCTCTATACCCCTGAACTAGGGGGTTTTTTTGGTATAAAACCTAGATCCACCAGGGGAAAAAAGCAACCTGTAAAGGTCTCTTTCCCCTAATCCTGAATCCTTTCACCCAAAATCTACTGCTCTTAACTGAAGTGTCTGAGAAATAGTTTCTGGGGCCCCGCGCAGATGGGCACCGCCATGAAGAAGATCATGACAGAGCGCGGCCTCGCCTGATTCCGGACACATGTGCTTTTTTGCGTGTGCTGCTTTGCTGCGCCTGACTCGCGTGCAGCGGTATTTGATATGATGCAATTGGGGGACCGCCATGGAGAAGATCATGGAGGGGGTATCTACTTGCCAAAGATCATGACTGAGCGTGGCCTCGCTCGATTCGAACAGAATCAAGAGGTTTCAGTGCAAACATCAAGGGCGTGAGAGCGCTTA